TGACTTTGCACCTCCCAGGAGGCCCCAGAGACAGTGCACCTGGTGGTCAGACTCGCCCACTCTGGATTACAACCCTATCACATCCACGAGGGACACACTCAAAGAGCACACTTGGTGAACACCAAAGCTCCACTGAAGTAAATCCTGCTCCATAGGGGTGTCTCCAGCACAGCAGCTCTTTGGCTGTAGTTGCAGCTGGTCCTCACAGCTGATTGGCCTGGGGGTCAGTTCCTCCCAGGGACGCCAACAGCAACCAAGGCTCAACTACAACAGGACAGTGCACACAGCCCACACAGGGGAGCACCTAGAAGGCCCAGCTCAGGTGACTGGGGAGGCTGAGCCACTGGACCCTACAGGACACCTACTACACAAAGCCACTCTACAAATTCCAGGAGACATAGCAGCTCTACCTAATACATAGAAACAAACACCTGGAAGCAGCCAAAATGTGGAGGCAAAGAAACATGTCACAAAGGAAAGAACAGAAGAAATCTCCAAAAAAGGAACTAAATGAGATAGAACCAAGCAAACTAATAGATACAGAGTTCAGAATTTTGGTTATAAGGATGCTCAAGGATATTAGTAAGAATATTACAAAACAAGTGAGACCATCAATGACCTAATAAAATACCTATCAGAAATGAAGGCTACACGAACTGAAATGAAGAATAATTTACAGGGAATCAACAGTAGAGTAGAGGACGCTGAGAATCAAATCAGCAATTTGGAACATGAGGAAACAAAAAACACCCAACCAGAAGAGCAAAAAGAAAAAAGAATCCAGAAATATGAAGATAGTATAAGGAGCCTCTGGGACAACTTCAAGAGGCCCAACATTTGTATTATTGGGGTGCCAGAAGGGGAAGAAAGAGACCAAGAAATTGAAAACCTATTTGAAAAAATAATTACAGAAAACTTCCCCTACCTGGGGAAAGAAATAGACTTACAAGTCCAGGAAGCACAGAGGGTCCCAAACAAGAGGAACCCAAAGAGGCCCACAGCAAGACACATCATAATTAAAATGCCAAAGGTTAAAGACAAAGAGGGAATCTTAAAAGCACCAAGAGTAAAGCAGTTAGTTACCTACAAGGGAGCACCCATACGACTGTCAGCTGATTTCTCAACAGAAACTTTGCAGGCCAGAAGGGAGTGGCAAGAAATATTCAAAGTGATGAAAAACATGGAACTACAACCAAGATTACTCTACCCAGCAAAGCTATCACTTAGAATTGAAGGTCAAATAAAGAGCTTCACAGATAAGAAAAAGCTAAAGGAGTTCATCACCATCAGACCAGTACTATGTGAAATGTTGAAAGGTCTTCTTTAAGAAGAAGCTAATGAACAAAAGAATCTGACAAACTAAATGGATCCAGAGACACTGACACATACAACAGACAATCATTTTTCAGAGGGAAGAGGGAAGGGGGGTGGAGGGTGGGAGGAGATTAACCAAAGAAGTTATATGCTTATATGCATAACCCATGGACACAGACAATGACAGGGTGAAGGCCTGGGGAGGGGATAGGAGCGAGGTGGAGGGGGTCAGTTGGGGGGAAAATGGGACACCTGTAGTGTTTTCAACAATAAAGATAAATTTAAAAAAAAAAAAGATAGTGTTTGAGATGGGTCTTGAAGGATGCCTAGTTGTTTATTATGTGGAGGAGGGGAAAAAAGCATTCCTGGCATAGAAAACATGTCCAAAGACATGGAGACATAAGTAAGCACGGTGTTGCTGGGCATGAGTCAAGCAAACCTGACTGGGACAGATCTATGAACAGTCCTTAGAGACATGTCCAAGACTTTAGGCTTTATCCTTTGGGAATGGGTAAATATCAAAGGTGTTTATACTGAAGATGGAAGCATGCAGGTACATGTTTCAGCATCATAAATCTGGTATGTGGTGATGGTATAGAGGGGAGGTATAGATGGTCTCCTTGAAGGCAGGGAGACCAGTTAGGAGTCTACTGCCAAATCCAGCAGAGGATGGAAGGTCCAAACCAAAGCAACAGCACTGGTGATAGGGAGGCAGGAAAGCCTGAATCAATAAGATGAAGTCTTAAGGAATGAAGGAGTAGCAAGGGAGAAGAGCAACCCTGTTTTCTGGCCAAGAACCTGAGAAGCTGGAAGGACGCTGATGCCACATAACTGTGGCAACTGTATGGGAGGAGCTTCCAGTTCCATTCCACACACGTTTGAGAGAAATAAACCTAAAAATCTTTACTCATTTTGAAACTGTATTACTCTTTCTTATAGACCCAGAAGTTTAATATAACCATAAATTAGGAGGAGTTCTTACGTGTGGAGAAAAGGAGTATTAAAAAGAAAAAATAGCAATAGACAAAAAACAATCTCCAGGAAACCAACAAAACAAAAAAAAAATAGTCTTGTATCACTTTCAAGGTGACACTGGCCAACCCCAGGCTGTCTGTTGAAGGAGTCACCTGCGAAAGCAAGTCCAGCTTACATCAAGAAGGTGATGACCTACTTGCTATCCTGGTCCATTGTCAGTCCAGACCCCTGCTCGACTAGTTTGGTTAGGTTCACTATTTCCTCTTTCAGGGCAAGAATCGTCTCCTTCGCCTTCTGCTCTTTATCATAGGCTGAGTCCACCATCTTCCAGGCCTTTTCGATCTCCTAGATGGGCCACAGGACATCAGTGAGAAAAACCAAACTGGCTTCCAGATGCAAGATAAACTGAGTCAACAGAATAATAAAACAACCGCAATGCAGTGGTCATTTATGGGGAAAGAAGATCACATAGTACACATTATGCTTTAAATTTATATTGACTTACTCAGTTGTTCAACATGAGCTAGTCAATACTGAACACCAGTTTTCAGGGGGGGATTGGGAAAGGATACTTTTTTCTTGTGTAAGTGAGTGTGGCTACAAAGCTCACATACTGCAAGGGCTGCTATAACTAGGAGGATATTTCTAATAAAAATATTAAGATAGGTTTACAAAATTAAAAATAAAAGCATATGTGTTTCCCAAGTCCAGATATTTTTTTAATAAGCTTTATCACATAAGGAATGATCTTAGATCCAAGCCTTAAATTTTAAGCTCTCGATAGGTTCTAAGTAAAACATATATTTTGTCCTTAGGTCCCAAGTGAACTCCTAATGGCCATGTGAGCTTTAGAAAAATTCATAGCAAGGTAGTCTTTGCTGTTACCTAATCTGTACACAGCAGCCTTGGTAATTACCATTTCCAGAAACTCAAGCCCAGGCCTTCTCATCAGATGCTTACAGGGGGAGAACAAAGCCCATAGCAGAGAATAGGAACCAGGCCTCACGTAGCTTTGGCTTCCTTTCTGCTATGAAATACACGGTTGAATATTAACATAAATACTTAAAAGTGAATTACAGCCATTCAAATAAACGAACAAAGCACGGTAAATATTGCAGCAGACTTGAGTTTTTACCCTGCCACTTAATTTTCTTGCAAAATTTCATCCAGTGGCATGTGAGTCCCTTATACAGGTAAGAACCTATTGGCTTAAGGTAAAAATATTCCACTTTCATGTTGACAAGGAATTAAATGAGTGGTAGAGAGTATTTCATTTAATTAAACAAATTCATGCTGTTACAATAGAGAGAGATGACAAAATGTCAGTTTATTGGGACATGTTTTTCTGTAACAACCATATATACTATTTTTTAGCAAAACAAATGAAAGATATTTAAATGCAAATACGACTATGTGAAGATTTGTCCAAATCAACTTCACCAATTAGATTTTAACCAGTTCATGCCTTCCATTTCCAGTTTTAACATTTACCATAAAAAGTGGCATTTTTCATCATAAAAGGAATTAGAGCCTTTTCATGTTGATTTTTCAGCGAAGAGAAGAAAATGACAATTGGGAGAAAATACTTCAAAAAAAAAGTTGTTTCTAAGAAAACATGTCATATTTCACAGTGGCCTTGGAAATTTATTTGAATTGGCTGATATTTAATTGCATGATATCAAGGGTATTTCTTAAAAGTTTGTGAATTTTTTCTCATCACTAAGGTTTTAACTATAAATTAAGATGTCTTAACCTCTTATCACCCTGAAATCAACATTAAACATTTATGTTTTACCTTCAAAATAATGCAACACACTTGAGGATGGAAAAATAAAGTGTGAGACAAAGCCAGACGGAATCCCTGTTCTCCCATTATGAGGAACTGGGAGAATCAAGGCAGAAGGAAAGAGATGTTAAGAAAAAATATAAAAATTACTATTTGGGTATTCTCAAGGCATTATCTCCTAAAACAGTAAAAAAATAAAAAAATTAAAAGTAGGAATATAAAAATATCTTTAACAAGCTATCAGCTTGAGATATTTAATTACTATTCATCTTGTATCAAACAAGACATACTAAGATTCCTAATATTGCTCTTACTTATCTCTAATTCTTTTTGCTAGCCCATTATTTCTTAGCAACCAAGCCAGTGAAGTTGTACATTATATTCTGAATAGTCAAATTCACCCAATCTAATTATTTTCTTTGAAAATGAACATTATTCCCCAGGCTTAATGAATACATAAATCATGTACATTTTAACTTAGTAGCTCATTTACTGCCAGCCCAGAGCTGTGAGTATGGTGACAAGGTGCTGTTTTAAACACAGGGCGCATCTACGGCAGCTCTCCATTGACTCCATTTCCAGAATATCACTGACCTTTTTCAAGGACGTGATGGTGGTCTGATCATCTTGAGAGAGCTTCAGGGCGGTGGCGACCTTCGCGGAATTAACCACAATCTCCGCATTGAGCTCTCTGCATTTGGCCATCAGGCGCTTTTCATTTTCATAAGACTTTTTCATGACAGCGTGAAGCTTCTCATATTCAATCCTAAATTTCTCCAGACTTTTGTCCCCTGAAAGTTCACTGAGAACCTCCTGAAAATCTCTTTCGATTTCTTCAAATGCAGTTTCTTCCAGCACTACTTTTTCACTCTTTTCCTGTACAGAAGAGCAGGGATGGGAATGAGCATTGCGACGTCTACACCATGACCATTCAGAAATTACTGTTAATGCCATGAATAAAAGACCTTCAGACAAGCTAATTAAAAACCGCTGATAATCAGAACTTTTTAGGCTCTATGCTGGGAAGGGAACAACTGTATGATGTTCATTCCCTGATGCTACAATATATACACGGGTGGGCAAAAGTAGGTTTACATTTGTATGTACACAAAGCACACAGCTTATTCTTGTATATTCTTTATTAACTATTGTATTATTTATTTGTATAACCCTGTAAACCTACTTTTGCCCAACCCCCTGTATATAATATTTCCTACCACATGTTGTTGTTGTTACAGATTGGATTAAATAGGATAATTCATGTTCAACACTTGGCCAAGTGCCTGGCACACAGTAGGCACTCAATAAAATTTTATAGCTGTTACAATTATTCCAAATCCTGATCTCTTTTCATTTCATCCCACTTCTTACTGCCCCGAGGATTGGACTGCAGAGGGAATCCATAGCATGTTGAGGTCAGACATAGGGAGACTGGGGTATAAATAGCATGAAATCACACATACTCACAGTGAAACCCATTGGAAATATGGAATAGTCTCCTAAAAGATATTCCATCACTTGTATCCCTAAAGGAAACTAGGCCAGGTCATCTCCACAGGTATACTAAAATGCCCCCTGCGCAATGCTCATGGGTCTTCTCTGCATTTGCTTTCCATGATTATCTGGACAAGTTATTTAACACTATAGGCCCAGACAAGCAAATATAATTCAAGCAAGTCTGGCTATGACTTAGATGGGAACCCAGAAGTTAGTTATACTATAAGAATTCTTACTTCCCTAGTGTATGGGTTGAATCATGTCTCTCCACAAAGTTATATTGAAGCTCTAACCCCAGTACTTATGATGTGACCTTATTTGGAAATAGAGTCATTGCATATATAATTAGTTAAGTTGAGGTCATACTGGAGGAGAGTGTGCCTTAGTCCAGGTATCCTTATAATAAGAGCAGGGTGGATTATAACTTTGTGTGGCAATAACTTATTGTGGTAATCATTTCCCAGTATAGATGTATATCAAATCATTATATTGTAAAACTAATACAATGTTACATGTCAATTACATCTCAATAAAAAGCAGGGAGTCGAGGGTTGGACACAGACACACACAGGAAAATGCCATGTGAAGACAAAGGCAGAGATTAGACTGATACAGCTCCAAGCCAAGGAAAGCTAAGGATTGCTGGCTACCCCAGAAGCTAGGAAGGGGCGAGAAAGGATTTTACTGAGTCTAGAAGAAATATGGCCCTGCCAACACCTTGATCTCAGACTTCTAGACTCCAGAACTTGAGACAATAAATTTCTGCTGTTTTAAGCTGCCCAGTTTGAGATACTATGTTATGGCTGCCGTAGCAAACTAATACACCTACTTCTTGTTAGATACAGCACAATAATAAAAAAGAATGGGTATGGTTAATACACTTATTCACTTATTCAGCAAGTATTTATTGAACATCTGCTATATGTAAGTTGGAATGCTAGAGCCTACACGAGATACCAAGACAAAGAATAAACAATGCTCCCACAGGAAATTTATACAGCAATCATTGGTGGGGTATGTTTTCCCAAAATGGAAGTACAGAGTTTGATACCTGCCATAAAACAGATTCAAAATTCTACAAGGATGGAATTACTTCCAACAGCAAGAATTAAAGTAAATTTCATAAAGAAAATGGCATTTGAGCAGGCCCAGAAGGGACAGTGGAGTCTTCACAGGTGATATGGAGACAGAGGGTATTCCTGGCAGGTGGCAAAGCATGAGCAAAGGCTCGACCAAGCAAGCGTCCAAAATTTGAGACTGGTTAAGAAGCTCAAGTTGGCTCAGGTATAAAAAGAGAGAAGGGCTTTTGCATCAAAGCTTTATTGCTAATCAAAGAAACCAACAGAGACACTCTTTAATCCCAATAATAAAGTAAAATTCAAATTCACCCTAAAGATTTGGGGCAAGTAGTCTAGTTTCCCTTCTGCTTTGACAAGCCTATCTTGCCCAACATGGAGAAAATCTACATATTTTTGGTTTTCAAAAACATTTGTGCTAATGATTAAATTTCTAAAGATGGCATGCAAGCAAAACGGAGCCCACATCTTAAAATAGATGAGTCACAAGCATATCTATAACATTTCGTGTAACAATGTTAGTACTAATGTTAAATTCAACAGGAGTTTTCTAGAAGCAGATTCTCACAAAGATCACAATACAGCAATTCCACAAAGGAGGAAAAATCATATTTAGGAAATATGGAGCTGCTGCTGCTCTGTGCTTTCCCCTTGTTGATGCTAAACATGAGTATACACAAAAATATATCATGGCAATGTTCTCAGTTCCATCCCTGTAAATGGTATTAATGTCAACACTTGATCACCAGCCTAATGATTTGTTGGCAGGCCAGGTTTTCCCTGTATACCTGGCCCTTCGCACAGGAGTGGGAAAATATCAAAGAAAAAAGTTTTAAAGAAACTTTTACGAACAAAGGAGATTTGTTCATATTGCTATTTTAAAATATACTCTTAAAAGCAAAGCAAAAATTATCTCTTAGCTATGACCAACAACCAGTAGGTATCAACACTTATGGGATATAAAGCTATCTGTTTTGAAAGCATGGTTTCAACATGAACTGATCAGAGAGGAACTGTGATGCTCCTTCATTCAACACCTATCTATTGAGTTTTTACTATCTGCCAGGCATCATTCTAGGTGCTGGGAATACCAATTAGTGGTGAGAAGGAAAAGGGAAAAGGAAAAGAGAGCAGCAGTAAAAAATGAGGCCAGAGTGGAAATTAAGACTCATGAAAGCAGAGGTGAGAAAAAGTTGGCTGAGATCAAGTGAGAAGGAAAATAGAAAGAAGAAATAATGGGAGATCGTAATGAGGGAGGGAGGCTGGGAAATAATTACTTCATAGCATGGGTATCTGGGGCTAATGTACAGAAAATGAAGAATGAAATAAACCAAGATGACAAGTAGGGGAGGGGAGGAGGAAATACTCAAAGGCAATGACAGGGGAAATGGGAGGATTAGAAGGAACAGGAGGGAAAGACGGGGAGAAGAGAGATATGAGCAAGTGGGGATAGTGGGGATAAGTGATGTGGCCCCAGCAGCATGGACGGAAGAGACAAGACCGTGACGGAGCCCAGGCAGTGAGGAAGAGAGAGGGCATGAAAGGGGTTGTAGGATTAGGAGAGAGAGCTGTTGCCCACGGGAGGTGGAGTCTAGAAGGGGAGACTAGATGTGGAGGAGACAGGATGATGAGGGGCTGTGAATGGTCAGAGGAGACAAGAGAACCACCTGGAACAGGGGTGGGGGTCTAATGGGTGTGACAGGAGCTGGGACCAGGGCTGGCCTCATGGGTCTGTGACCTATGCAGTTGCGTAGGGCCCCTGGCTCAGACAGGCCCTATCCCCCAGTCAGTTTACTACTCTGTTGTCTCGTTTTGAAATTCTTGATAATTTTTAACAAGGGGCTCTGAATTTTCATCTTTTATTGAGCCCCACAGATTCTGTAGCTGATCCTGAATGGGACTGACCATGGGATGGGTGAAATGGGGGAGCGCTTTGACAGGGCCATGAAGGATTTCGGTAGGGCCTTGATGGATGGGGACCATGAATGGCAAGTGATGGCAGGGACCTGCTGTGCTCAGAGTTATAAATGAGGGTGCTAATGGACAGACAAGGGTCTTTAAAGGGCTGCAGGGAGGAGCCCTCATCAGTGATGCTGAAGATGGGGTATACCGCAACCTGGGGAAGCGAATAAAGGCTACCAGATCACACCGCAACGGTCAGTGATAACGCAGGGCAGTGGTGACCAGCCGAAGAACTCAGTGAAGATGTGTCACAGAGCTGATCAGGTGATAGGGAATCATGGTGTGACAGGTGCACAAGGGTCAGTGAATAGGGGTGACGGTGGATATCTCCGAAGCCTTCTTGTGGGTCCCATCAGTCAGTGTGAGACATCACTATGTCTGTGTGTATCTCTTTTGTGGCTCAAAGTGTAGGTGTGGGTGCCTGTCATGAATTTCCCACCGTGCTTAGCACAGCGCCAATTTAATAGT